TGTCCTAAGATGATCCATTCCCAGGCCCTTCTGGAGCATGTGCCAGTTGGGTTCTACTGCATTATCATTTACAGTTCAGATCTTCATTTGCCTCCACTAACCCGACTTCACCTGGATGCAAAGTCTGAAGTGGAGCCAGGTAACTACTAGCTTTTCAGCTGCTTCTCGCTTACACTGTCTCCTTGTCTGCAGTCGTTTGGTTGTTCTGCGTTATGTTATTTTTTGTATTGGTACCTCAGCGTCTGCAGTTCCTCTACCAGGCACATCCTGTTCTAACCAAGACCGCCCCACTCTGTAAGATTTTAAATGAAGGGTGCAAGTAACCTGCCCTGCCGCCTTGCCCACTTCCAAAATGTCAGTGGCACAGAAAGAAGGCATTAGCTCATCCTCCTCTCTGGCCAAGAAGGACTTGTTACTGGATTGTTTCCATGTTGCTTGGCATGATATGCCATATTTGGTTCTTTTATTAGACTGGCATCTGACTTGCTTCCTCTCTGGTTCTGATGTTCTGGCTGACAGCAGGGCTCCAATCCAGCAGGTGTTATCGGAGAATGAGGCAGAAGATTAATTTCTCATCCCCAAAATGTGCTTCAGCCTCCTATCTCGCTCCATGGAAGAGATCAAACCCTGTTCCAGTCTGTACATGACACAAGTTTCATGGGAAAGGTTTCCTTCTGGCCTCCTTGTTGCTTCCTACCTTCAAATTGCAGGCGACGGTGCTAGTTTGTGCACCCATAAAAACACAGCTAGAAGACTAATGTCCACAAGGACCTGCCTCCTGCCATGACTGAAAATGTATCATATAGACACACCCTAATGATCAATTCCTACCCCTCTGCTCTGGAGGAAAGTGTAAACACACAGCAGGTCCCTAGAAGAAAAAGCACTCCCTAACTTCCCACTTGGCAGCCAGTTCCACCCTGGTACCTGCCAGCAAGATCCATTCCTTCACCACTTGATGCCATGTTTGCCTCAGTGGCACAGTTAATCTCCAAGCAGTCCCGTGTTCCTTCTGCTCAGGAAGGGAAATGTGGTTTGGAGCCCTGGCAGTTCCTGTGCAGCGTTCACGTGAGTTCCTGTTCCTGAGTTCAGCCAACTCCCTTCGCAAGACTTCGCCGTCGCCTTTTGCTCTCCACTCCCTTGCATTGTCAGATGGAAACCGAATTGCCCGTCTCCATGAGGCATCCACGTGACTCCAGTGAATAAATGGCAGGAGACCTGGGTCAGAATTTGATTGCACAGAACAGCAAATTCACACTTTTAAAAGTGGGCGTAGGGGCTGTTGCATCACAGGTGCAGTGGCATCCTACTTCCGGGGGCTGCTTATCTGTCTGAAAGCAGGTGTTTGCTGCTGCTTGCTTCCTGGCTCGTGAAGTCGGCTTTCCTTCTGAGAAGAGTCACAGTGACCTAATGAGGCTGGCCATCAGACAGCATGGGTAGTTCGTGATTGGCATGCTGTGACAAAAGATGGGCCTTTTTTACTAGTAACTTGGACAGAAGCAAGGGCTCTGTGCTTTTGGCCTGCTCCTGCAGGGCAAGGCCTTCAGAGCCATGCACATACTTCCCCCTTCGCTGCAGGGGAACGAAATGAATCAGCAGTTCCAAGTTCATGTGGTGACACTTGTGCATGTAGCACAAATGCCAGCTCCATGCCAAAGCAGTGCAGTTCAGTTCCCCTCATCGTGCTCTTAAAGTAAAGCCTTTTAGGAAGTGATTAGTGGGACAAAACTGAGAGATTACCAATCAAGCCATTCCTCTTAAGGCTCATCTTTCTAGCACGCTGCTTGGGGGCAGACCAGGGGACCAGTGCATGCAACTGCCGAGTTCTATTTTTGACTTTCTCTTTCTGGCTGTGACTGCTGATAAATCTCATAGCACCTGGGCCTCAGTTTCCCCACGTGCATCTGACTTCTCTGCCTCACTGTGAGACTGGCTTAATTCTTCCAAAGTGCTTGGAGCTCACTGGGCAAAAGGCATTGCAGTTTTTTTTGACCACTTGCATGTGAGCCGCAACCCTGAGGGAAATAGGAGAAAATAAGGTATTTAAAAAAAAAATTGTTACTTCAGTGTAGCCTCCTTTTTTGCCTTGTGGCTGTTTTGATCTCCCAGCCTGTTGTTTGCATTCCCCCACCCCCTTGTTAACTACTTAAATCCAATGAGAGATTTTTAAAACAGGGCCAATGAGGTGATCCTCCCCCTCTATGCAACACTGGTCAGGCCACAGCTGGAGTACTGTGTCCAGTTCTGTGCGCCCCATTTCAGGAGGGATGTGGACAACATTGAGAGGGTCCAGAGGAGGCCACCCGCATGATCCGGGGACAACAGGGCAGACCCTACAACGAGAGACTGCGGGACCTGAACCTGTTCAGCCTTCACAAG